CCTGACTAATCGCGCTCCTGGCGGTCGTCGACCCGAAGTGGGTGGGGGTCATTAGCCTCTGTGTAACACAGGCTATGTTAACATAGCAAGAAAACACAAATTTAGCACAAATTTAGCACAAATAAATATACGCTATGTGCTATACGCTATTGACAATTCATCGTCACTCGGCGTGGTTACCCAAGTGATGTCAATGTGCCAGGAATGGGGTGTAAGTGAAGAGATGTCACACGTTGTGCGATAGCGATTCAGCCGCTTCAGCGATTCTTCATTTGAACGTTATTTCTCGTTGAAGGGTAAATTTTTAACATCATGTCTTCTTTTTCATTTTTTTGGTTTAATTCTGAAAAGATACTTTTACAGCACATAGACCCGTCCTAACCTCCGTCATACGATAACATGTGGACGTCCTTATCTCCACATGGGATAATCAATTCTATAAGCTACATATTATCGAATTACATGGATAAACACATGCTATGACCGAGAGAGAGGCCTTGTTAAGGGACTGTACGATATTTACCGGGGGGAGGGCTGGTGCACTGGGGGGGGGTAGGGCCATTGAAAATTTTTTTGGCCTGGGAGGAGGGCCATGGAAAAAAATTTTGAGCTGGGGGGAGGGCCATCGAAAAAAAAATCGGCCTGGGGGTAGGGTTTGTAAAAATATGGCGTCGCGGAGTACTGAATTACAAGAAATACGCCGTAAATTCCCGAATATAGTACGCACTTTTTACATTTTTCAAAATCCCAGAAGTGTCTCGGGCCGTCGCCAAAGTCGCGGTGCGTACGTTATTTGAGTTTTCCGCCGACAAATCCGTGGACGACCAAGGAATATAGCGGAACACCGGCACGGGGAGCTTGGAACGACATCGATTCGTCCATAGCATGTTTAGATAAGAATATTGACGAGTGGAAATAAAGTTAAACTTCAATAAATGAACATATTTCCTGTGACTTTTGTCGATATTGACACCAAGTTGCGTTAAAAGAAGAAGTCAATGATAGATGTAGTCTTTGATGAAATCTTACCGCCCGGCCGGTGGGTGGGGTGTTTGACGCGCCGACAGGCAAGTATACCTACAGCTGAAGAACACAGAGAGGGCCGTGGCATGCATGCGCAGCGCTGAGGACAGCTTTCCAGAACATGGACCCCGAGAAGGAAGTATTTCTTTCCTCTGAACAGACTGTACTTATAAGTTTATTCCTTTGATTTTGTGACAAAAACATCTATCACATAACGAGAGATTACTTGAAACGCAGTCAAACTTGTCACTTTCTCCTGTCGCAAGTCCCATTGATTCCAGTAGTCTTTTGTTGTTGTGTTAATTGGTGGTTTCGGTGTCAAATTTTAAATTCGGTAGCACCTCCCCTCTACACCCATATACTCCGCCCAGTTCTCCGCCTGTATGATTGTTGCTCTCCATGGGTCGATCGGGCGGGCGCTATTAAAGGAGTGTTCGGCACATTTCGTATTAAAAACAACAAAGCTACGTACTTGTGCATCAACATTCAACTACCCCTCGTTACCGATAGAATCAATATTTAAATATTGTCTTTTTTTTTTCAAAAATCTTTGACTATTGCTTGCTTGATCACCAACACTCTCCGGGATCCAAAGCTGTACGTTTCGACTTGCCTTACCCTTCGATGCGGTGGCGACGTCTTCGGCTGCGGCCAGCGGTGAAAACAAGGCCGAACACGAAGCGTTCCCCGCTACGTTACCATACAATCACGTAGTACACGGCATAAATGTAGTTTTTAACAATTTTTTTGGAACTACATGTCCACAGTGGTACCGGCCGTGCGTACGTTTCAGACGTGAATATTTGTCTCCCACCAGCCCCAAATCAGTGAGACAATCACATGGAAAAATGGGGGGGGGGGGCACCGAAAAATGGTTGTGGTTGGGAAAAAAATTGAGCCGCGGGGAGGGCGATGGGTAATTTTTTTCCGGACCCTTTTTGCACAAGCCCTGCCCCCCCGGTAAATATTGTACAGTCCCTATGATTCTCTACAGATGTGCGGCACGGACAATGCTGCCCCCGCCCTTCGGTCAAAAGTTCACTCCGACCCGTGCGCTCTCAAAGTAACCACGACATCCGTTTCCCTGTTACTGTTGATTACTTTAGATAAAATAAAATAAAATAAAACATAACATCCTGTTCAGTTTATTTCTAGATCTCTTGCTGTGTTTAACTCCTAGCCTGTGTTACACAAGAGGTTAATGACCCCCACCCACTTCGGGGCGGCCGGCCGCCAGGAGCGCGATTAGTCAGGCTATGTTATTTCCATGCCGTAATCTCCAAGCAGATCTTTCGGTTGGGTGGCAAAAGACAGTATCCATTGGCCATCCTGTATCCATTGGCCATCCTGTATCCATTGGCCGTCCTGTATCCATTAGCCAACCAAAGCTAATGGACACTCCTCTGGCTTGCCACCGAAAAGTCTGCTTGGAGATTACCATGCTGCACAGGCCTAAGGCCAAAGTAGTGGGTGCAATTCTGATGCATTCCGCCAGAGGGCGCAGCTGCTTGGAAGTCTTGCTGTTCGTGAGGCTGTGGATGGGGGGAGTTCAGTAGCCTGACGTCCTAGACAGGCAAGGTAGCCTGGTAAGGTAGCCTGGTAAGGTAGACAGCCCAGGTTTTTCCGTAAACCCGGTCACCATAGACAGGATTCTTAATGCTTAATGCAATGGGAAAAATGTGGCCACTAGGTGAGATGGGCTTCATGTAGCATGTTGGTTTGTAGGTTAAGTACAGTAAAGTACCCTGTATGTGTCCTCCTCTGTCCACTCTACATGTGTATGGTTCTGCAATGTCCAGACCTCAGTCAGTGCTATACACACTAGCAGTATTTGAATATAGCAGCCTACATTGTACATTTTTAAGGGTTTCTTGAAAATCATCAATTCATTTAGTGGTTGATATGAATGTTCTTTTTAATCAATGAGTACATAGTGCAGGACTGTAGCTGATAGCGAGCAGTCTTGCTTCAAACTCTGGATGTTGGTTGTGTTAAAAATCATCACTTTTCATTTACTGGTTCAGCTACATGTAAATGCAATTTAATTGATTCAATTAAGGATTACCTTGTGCAGGACTGTAGCTGATAGCGAAGAGTCTCTCCCCGAACTCTGGATGCTGGATGACCCGCGTGGGGTTCCCCGTTTCCGTGTCGAAACAGACCACCCTCCCGTTCTCCCTGTCAGCCGTGCACAGCTGATGCTTGTCCTCTGCCAGGGCCAGGCTGTGGGGGATCACCATCTGTGTGTCCAGGGTGAAGCCTTGGGAAGCTGTCAGGTGGTGGTAAGGTGACTTGTGGTTAGGGTTGTGGAATAAGAATCTAAAGGTTATGGGTTCCAATCCCTGGCAGGCCCCAGCGTTGTGCCATTGGGAAAGGCACCCATTCCCTCAATAATAAATGAGTACCTTGCTTTGAAATAGATCAAAATATATTGAACCATTTTATGTTTACCTTTTCATCTACCTTTAGCCTACCTATTAGGATTCTATCAGTAGCAAAAAATTCAATCAGTGCAAAGCTGTAGTTCCAATGTCCAAAACCTTTGATAGATGGGCTTGTTATGTAGCTAAGACTTTTAGTACTAGTACAAGTCCTTGTATCAAGAGCAAGTCAACACTTACCTGTAATACCTTGTGAAGCGTCAAGAACTCCGAGAACATCAAGAAGCTTCCCAGTCCTGTCAAACTTCAGAATTCTGCTGTTACAGTATCTGTAGAGGTAAAAATTTAGTCATCTAAAAAGTATCTACTGTTTCTTGTAAGAAATGTATAGTATTACAGAAATTCCGTTTTGCTTTCAATTGGTGCATAACGTAAGTACCCTAATCATTATTAATACTTGGCGTCGTGTGGCGTAGTGGTAGATCACTGGACTATGAAACGGGGAGACCCGGGTTCGATTCCAGTCGTACCCGAACAAGTCCGAAAATGCGCCCCGACGTTGTACCCTTGGGAAAGGTACTTAACACGATTTTCCTCACTTCACTCAGGTGCAAATGAGTACCTAGCTTCGGCTAGGGACGTCCCTCGGATAGGATGTTAAATGGAGGTCCCCTGTTTGGGGAGAGTCACACCCCGCGCACGTTAAAGATCCCACCACACCTTTCGAAAAAGAGTAGGGGTACGCCCCAGTGTGCGATGGTCCAAATACAGGTCTAATTATTCACTACGGACTCCAGGAAGAGTAGTGTGAACTTCACACTAATGGAGATCCTAAACAGACAAACAACAATCGAATGAAAGTTAAACACATACCCGTCTGACACATAGAAGTCCCCTGATGACTTCTCCACGGCCACATCCGTGGGCTGACAGAAGTGATCGGTGCTCCAGTTGGGGACAAACTTCTCCCCCAGGGTCAGTAACGGTTTGTCCCCTCCACCAGGGGGGAACTTAAACACCTGAAAGAAAGAAGAGGTTCGACTTAAAAACTTTGTTTATGCACATTTTTTGCTATAGCTGATACTGAGAACCATGTATGCTGTAAATCCATTAATTTTGTGGTAGAAGGGGTAAGGAAGTTTTTGAGGTTTTAAGTTCGAACAATTCTGAAGTACTTCTTTTCAGTAATGTGGTGATGCTCTATCTGTGTTGCTGATGTTCTAGATCTCTCTGTGTTGCTCATGTTCAGTCTAGATCTATCTGTGTTGCTGATATTCTAGATCTATCTGACTGTGTTGCCGATGTTCTAGATCTGTGTTGCTGATGTTCTAGATCTGTGTTGCCGATGTTCTAGATCTATCTGTGTTGCTGATGTTCTAGATCTCTGTGTTGGTCATGTTCTAGATCTATCTGTGTTGCTGATATTCTAGATCTATCTGACTTTGTTGCTGATGTTCTAGATCTGTGTTGCTGATGTTCTAGGTCTATCTGTGTTGCTGATGTTCTAGATCTGTGTCGCTGATGTTCTAGATCTGTGTTGCTGATGTTCTAGATCTCTCTGTGTTGCTGATGTTCTAGATTCTGTGTTGCTGATGTTCTAGATCTGTGTTGCTGATGTTCTAGATCTATCTGTGTTGCTGATGTTCTAGATCTATCTGTGTTTCTCATGTTCTAGATCATTCTATATCAGTGATTTCTAGATCTATCTGAGTTGCTGATGTTCTAGATCTATCTGTGTTGCTGATGTTCTAGATCTCTCTGTGTTGCTGATGTTCTAGATCTATCTGTGTTGCTTACGTTCTAGATCTATCTGTGTTGCTGATGTTCTAGATCTATCTTTGTTGCTGATGTTCTAGATCTATCTGTGTTGCTGATGTCCCATCTGTGTAACACAATGACAGAACCAGTCCTACCTGGTGCATGGCCACATCAGTTACCCAGACGTTGTCCTCGTGGTCCAGAGTAAGTCCATGGGGGAGATAGAAGCTGTGAAACAACACATAAAGACACATCAGCCACTGATTAACTGAGAGATAGACTAGTTTGTTTTCTACATACACATCTAACCTGCTGACAAAAAAAGCAATAAATTTAACTTTTTGAAGTTTGCTTATGAGAGATACTATGTGATGAACAAAGAACAGCAAACCAGAAATTACTATAATTGTTCTTGATTTACTGACGAGTAAATGGTCCTAGTTCCATTTTTTTCAAACATTTCAAAACATTGTCAGCAATTTTTACAACAGGAATGAACAATTTTGGAATTGATGAATTTTGTTGTTCATTGCATATAATATCCTATAAAAATCTTTACTAACTATAAGATAACTCACAAGTCCTTTCCCCATTGATGTACAGGCTTTCCAGTTTGTGGGTTGAGAGAGATGACCGTGTCTGTACTGATGGGCCCCTTGTCTTTCTCTCTGTACTGTCGTTTAGAGTCAAAGGACCTGTACAGAAACAAAAATAATTTCATAACCATGGTTAAAACAATTCCGTAGCACAATCGTATAACAAAACTGGTGTTCTAGCCAGTGTCTCTCTTTCTGAAATTTTGTCGCCCATGATGGAGATTTTGCCCAATCTGTCATCTTTGATGGACAAAAATCGGCATGTAAATATATGAAAAGAGATTTTCCCTAGAAATGCAGGAACTAGCTTACCAAAGGGTCAAGATTTCAAAATTTTCCTGTTGGAGCATGTGCCCGGACCACCCTAGGATTGTCATTCCTCACACCTTTGACGCTCATGTTACGTCAGGCAACCAAATTTTACTTGGGGCAACCTTTTTTTGAACCTAGGTAGCCCATTGTGCTACCTGAATTTTAAGAATGCCCCCCCCCCCCCAAATCATAAAGTAGTAACTTATAGATGGGGCAAACAAAAATTCTGATGGGCAACCTAATTTTTGCCGTAGGTTGCCCACTCAACCTGGTTCAAAAACGTATTTTGTACACTGTGCGCTAACAAAACCACTGCGGGTATTTCATGATCTACAGTATCTAGTCCGCCTCACCATGCGTCCCAGACGTGGTCTCCCCTGTGGAAGATGACCACGTTCCCGCTGCTGTCCACCCCCACCCCGGCCACCTGACCCAGCCTGCCCAACGATCCGTCCGGCCAGCCCTGCACCAGTCTCAACTCTACAGGATGGGAAAGTTTACTTGTAGTTAAATCTTGACGTATTTACCCAAAATTACTATTAATTTTACATCTACTATGTCGGTAAAGGTTAGACATCCAGGTAATAAGATATGCCAAAAAACAGTTACTCAAGCAACTGGACATGATTTTGGAAATGGTAAGATGTTTCAGGTAGCATCCACGTCTGACCGTTTCCAAAATCATATCCAGTTGCCTGAGTAACTGTTTTTTGGCATACATCTACATTTGTACTATTTTTTTTACAAAGAATATTGTAATTTAAGAGCACTGAAAACAACGAGCCTTGCATAGCACAGAAATACAGTTAGTCTTTTAAAACTCTTGTTATGCACAGCTGAACCGACAAACGTTTCATTCATATTTCAGCTTTTCGGCATAGGTTTCATGCAATTATTACATTTTTCTTCAAAGACGAAATTTGTGAGGCATAATTCTTTAAAAAATGGTTGAGAAGCAAACACACCTGTATGTTGTAAACCTGCTGTTGACGTTTCTGAACTAGACTGTGCCTCCTCACTCTGCATTATGCCTGTCTCAGTGCTTTGGTGCTGCTCTCTCACAACAGTCTTCGTCTTCTCCGTAATTGCATCAAAGTTGTCCTCCTTTTGCTTTGTTGTAACTTTAGGCTTGGGTGGTGGAGCCAGGGTTTTGGCGTAAGTCGATGTGCCAGACTTTCTGGTGGTAGACTCGTCCATCCCTGTGTAGAGGTTGTACAGCTCGCTCAACAAGTTTTCCGGGGTAATGTCGTACGGTAAGTCAGGAAGATCAGGCAGATACAAGCTCCCTTTGGAGGTGAGCAGGCAGGATAGGAAAGACATAGCGACAGAAGGTCAGCGTTAGTAAGTGTTTTATTTTTTGGAAAGCAGACATGATGCAGTGAGTGAAAGCTTAAGTAATTGAGAGTGAGGGATAACAGTGTTACTGTACAGTTCACAGATCCAAAGTAGTACTAGTAGCCTGGTACCTCTACCAGAGTAACTGTTGGAGTGTGAGTGGCTGAAAGTTATTACATCTACTGTATAAAACTTGTAGATACTAAAATGCTAAAATTTATTAGTTATGCTAAAGAAACAAGTATTATCATCATCATCGTATCTTGTATGGTGCCATTGATGCAGTCAGCTTAACACTTCCTGGTAAGCCAAGGTAAGCTTTACCTTGTTTACCAGTTATGCCAAACAAACAAACAAACAAAGTTTAACGACCTACCAGCCATGTCCTCCTCCCCCATGCCATGTCCGTGGTGGTGGTACATGTGTACATGTTCCTCCAACCCTTTACCAGTTATGACAAACAAACAAACAAACAAGCAAACAAACAAACATACCTGTCATGTCCTCCTCCCCCATGCCATGTCCGTGGTGGTGGTGCATGTGTACGTGCTCCTCCCACCCCTCCTTCAGCCCCCCTCCCTCCGGGGCGTCAGGCACGACCATGGAGGTGGCGGGAATGTCCGCGAAGAAGTCAGCGTCGCCGGGGTAGGAGCACTCCTTAAAGGTGGAGCCCCGGACAGGGTCGGTGTAGTACATCATGTAGAAGTTACACATCTCGTCTGAGGATGTCGATCTGTGGATGGAAGGAGCATAAATTTCTTCACCAATGTTTACTGTGTGATACTTATACCTGTCAGGAGCTTTTTGTATCCTTAATTACTTTGTGAGTTTACCAATGCCCCTGATGATGTCAACCTGTGGATAGAATGAGCATATTCCCTAATTTACTCACTAATGATGATGATGATGATCTATTAGCAAAGGTACATTAGCAGCCACATGCTGAATTATCCTTCGTGTACAAAAAGTTACAGATTGTTGTCAAATATGTTTACTTGCCTTAAAACATTTAACACCTAAATACCTAAAGTCTAATGCGTAGACACACATACACACACAAACACACACAACACACATACAATCAAAAGAAAACTCAGTACACGATTAAAATTTCCAATTACGTAAACTTTCAAAACTTTCTCAGAGTCACTGTTTTCTGACTTTCTATTACACTTTATCGAGGAACATTATGTGTATAAAATTACTGTCTACATGTAGATTGTCTTGTAGTCTTTTCTTTTTAAAAGAATGCTTCCTCCTTACCCAATCCATGTGTCCACATCCTTGTTCTCTGCATCGAACACACATCTGGCAGCCTGGTATGGACATATTGACAGAAGTGAGTGGGAAGAAAACAGTGGTGAGAAGTAATGTCACTCAACAGCTGACAGCCTCTATGCCAAGAATTAAAAGCATTTGGGAGGAACATACATGTACATGTACACAACAAACATGCTACATATGGGTGCAGAGGTCCCGTTACTTCACATTGCTCATCTTATGTTATGTTCAACTGAGACCACACAAACTACAACTCAATAATATTATGCAATTGTTTTGCTGTCTCTTGCCTAGCATTGCTTCATCAGATGACAATGATATAAGAAGATGTACGATGTTGGTTAAGCTCTAGATGGACAGCAAAACTGCCAGCTTGCTTTAATATGGCACCAAGAACAATCAGCAAATATGTCCTATGCACACAATGTCGACAACTCAACAAAACATAGGAAAACTCACCTCAATGGATAGTATTAAAAGTTCTTTTATTCAAAAGGATTTGTTTTAAACACGAGCCAACGTTTCGATGACTGTCATCTTCTTCAGGGGTAATATGACTTAATATATGATTTTAATTATATGATTTACTGTGAGGACAACAGATGGTCATCAGAACCTCATTTTGTGTTAAACAAATGGTTTTATACTATTCAATCTGTCACCAACCTGTTGAAATTATCTACAGAACTCACCACAATGTCTGTTGACCAGATGACCTTGTCCTTAATATTGGCCATAGGGTAGAAAGCCTGCGGCCACTGTGGGTTCCCTCTGCCCAGCTCTATCCACTCATGGCCGTCCCTGACCACATAGCCACTGACCACTCGACCTGGGTTTGTGGAAAACAGCAGTAAGTTTTAAACTTACTTAACAAGAGTTCCACGACCTTCGCCAAATGATGTTAACCCTTGCGGGTGACGAATTATACAATTTCAATCATTGATTTTGTAAATAAGAGCCTCATTTGCATGGATTATATCAGTTGATCATATTCTCCATCCAATGACAGCCTTATCATAACAAAAAGGCTATTATAGCACTTCCTCATAAATTATGCAAAAGAGGTCATGATTTGAATAAATTATGTTTATTGATGTTCACCTTCACTTAACTTCCAAATGTGGCAAGTATGAAATTCGGGGTGCAGCAGTTACAACTATGGAATTATAAGAATTTGCCATTAAGTATGCAAATTAGGTCCTCATTTACATAATATACATCCGCAGATGTTTTTCTCGTTCTCAAGTAGATGTCACAAGTGTTTCATAGTTCTATTATCGAACAAAGCAGATTTATAGAATTTCCTCATTAATTATGCAAATTAGCTCCTGATTTGCATAATTGCCATCTGATTATGTTAAGCATCACTCATAATGTTCGAGAGCATTATGAATTTCAAAAAAGCCCCCCTAAAATCTTGCACTCAGCATATCTTCACTGTGCATAGCATACAATAAAAAAAATGGACGCCCACCAAAAAAATCCTAGCTAAAAGCCTGGTTGATGTGGAACAACAGACATGAGTGATTAGCTATCTGTTAAAAAAAATCATGACCATATAGCATGTCCAGAACACGAGATATGAAAACAAGAAATTCTGCTGCAGTGGAGGCCCATAATCAAACTTGCTTTGTTTCTTGACACCAACCCACATACACATTCATTAACAATTTCTCAAGTTATGCTGTTCACTTATAATCTTCTTGACTAAGAAAATAACTGGATGATGTACAGAATTACATGTATGTGGTTTAAGAGCTACAGAACAGAACTGGTTACCTAGTCCATGAGCATGGGTACGGAAGGCGAAGGGATGGATTTCTACTGGATCATCATAGCCACAGGCCAGGTCCACAGTCACACCTTCAACAATGTTGGAAAAAAAGTGTTGTCATTAAGTAAACACAAGCTTGTTGCACAAGAGCAGAGTTTTTCTTGGCTTGTACTTGTTGATGAAGATATATCATCCAGCAAATCTATTAGCTCAGCAAAAGAACATTATTAACAGCATCACAGTTTACAATTTTTAGGGATCAATGTCTATATATTATAACTTACATGTACATGTAGAACTGTTTCAGTCACAGAGTCGAAAACGTCCCCTTCAATCAAGTACCGGTAAAAATAAATAAATTCAGATTTACCTGTTGAGTGAGCAGGAATGTGGGCATATCCAGATGCGAGTAGGAACATCCCTGCTATGAACTTTTGCCTGCAGAGAATAACAGACTGAGTATGGTGTATGTTCCATGTCACACAATATATATATATATATATATAATTATGTTGGTTATGTACATATCCTGAGTTACTTCAGTTACTTCCCAAAATATGTTGATAAAGTATAGGATACAGGAGTTCTCTTTTACACAACCAACATTCTTACCTTCAGTGCAGATGTTTTGGTGTCACAAAGAAACAACAAGAGTTGAATGGGGCACCCAGTGGTTTGAAAATTGAACAAATGCAGGAAAAAGTTCTCTAGAACTTACGGTCTGTAGGTCAGGTGCAGGGAGAGCCCAGAGTGATCCAAGTCTGCTCCATCTATTAACACAAGGAATTAGACAATGAATTATCATGAATGACACAGTCACTTGTTTTTTGATATGACAGTAAAATCATGGCTTTGACATATAATAACTGTTTACATTTCTATACCTCTTTACAACATAAAAGAAAGTGATGGCTGGTCAAGTTGCAGTAATGAACTTTGTAGAGTGCAATGTACAGATACAGTACAAATCTCAATTATCCACTCAGATAGATACGTCATCACAGCTCATACATCTTGTTAATGCACTGTTGATACATACTTATGATTATGAATTCAAAGTAAAACCTGTTCACGCACCCTGGAAACTGTGTGCATAATGTACTTGTAAGATCAAGTGGTCCACTCCACTGTCACCACCAATTTGGAATCCAACATCTGAAAAAAGGCAACAGACATTTCAAATTGTCATTGACAAAAATACTGTATTGAAATGTGAAATACACAATATTGGTATCAGTATAAACTATGTAAGGTATCACTGAGTTTATTTTTTCAAAGTTACAAAACAAGAAGTACGTATACAGAATCATAAGAATTAACATAAATGAAGGGTAGAGTAAGAAATGTGTTTACTAGCAATACAGTTACATTTGCCTGAATCTACTTTTACAGTGTTGAAGTGTTCTTTACAGAGCAGAGCTACTGATAATAATTATATGATCAGGACCTGGTTATTCTCGCTGCAGGGAATCAAATGAAATAAATCTAATCTGACCTTCAGGTATCTGAGTTGGAGGTGCGTCCCTGGCCCAGGCATACATAATCTGGCTCTGACCCCTGCACATGGCCCTCATGCTTCCACAGTCCCTACAGGGGAGAAACAACAGTTAAGGTTGTTGCACGCACAAGGAAATTGTTACTAAAGCAATGTACTGAATAGATTTGGAAAACGGTAAGACGTTTCAAGTAGCATCCATTACTTTTGGTCAGTGAATAACAGGGTATGTAAGTCTCTGACATAGAACATAAGTCCTAAAGGTTCTGGGTTCGAAGCCCTTATAAGTACCAATGTTTTGCCCATGGGAAAGGCAATTTACACCTATATTCCCTCAGCTGAAAATGAGTACTGGTACCTAGCTTCGGTTAGAGTGAGACATAAAGCCTTGAAGCCCTGTGTTTACGGATCCCCTACATTTGCCCACGTTTTTGTACGTAGACAGTACGCAGAAACACGTACGGCGGGTTGTGACCAAGGCTTTAGAGTGAGACATACATTTGTAAGGCCTCGAGGCCCTGTGTTTGAGGATAGCAACACCTTAATTAAGCATGTTAAAGATCCCAACACACCAAGTAAGAACATCTTACCACACATCTTTTTTTGTCCAGGGTGTCTCACAGCCAAACAGTAGTATGTGGTGAGCTGTGTTCATGCTGGCAGATGGCACAAATTCAGCTGCAGAAACATCACAGTCATTAACAACATTCAAGCAGATTAATTTTGGACTGAGCAGAGCACTTCAGACTATCCTTACTTAGCAAACCACCAGTACTGATACAGTATGTGACATCAATAACAGATCAGTTGCTGACAGTCTAATTTCAGTCAGAATTCATTAAACCAGCTTCCTGAATTGTCACAACTGTAACTAACGAGTATTGATGCTTTCTAAGAATTATTCTGACCAATCTCTTACAGTAACTGTCTTGACAGCACTGACATGCTACTGACATGTGTGTTGCTATCAGCTTCCTGCTTTTAAAACTTAAACATCTTGAGATCTCGTACAAAATCTTGAGATGTTTGAACAATCTGAAGATGCTTTGAATAAATCCCAATCACATAAAAAATATTTAATTTAATACTAAGTTACCAGTTGGAAATTTATCTGCTAGTGGATGGTATATTATATATATCATATACATGTATAATTATGTATTATAGAATAAAATGTTGACCATAAAAGAACTTACTGATGTATGCTATATTTTCTGGGGTCTCCACTTGTGTGCAAAGGTATGCATCATCCTGAAATCATTTAAAAAATCATGTTAGGGCTTTGTCAAAAAGACCAGCAGGCATATGAATTAAATTCTACTATCAAATGCACCTTTCACAGTTCCCTCTACATGTACATAGCCTAAGATCCTTAACTTGCAAGTGATCTCCTCCACTTTTTGATGGTCCCTTGGTACATAATTTTTCCCATTGACATAAACATTAGGAATCCTGTTTATAGTTTACTAACCACCTGTCTGGACTGGACTGGACTGAGTCTAGCTGAAGCCATAAGAGTGGCAGAGGACAGACTGAGTTAAATGGAGGAGGATAGTGGACCAAGTCATGGTGCCCCAACGACCCCCAACGAGGTCAAGGGATAAGTGAAGTGAGGTGAACCACCTGTCTGCATAGACCACATTTTATTGGTCCTCTTAGCAGTCTTCCAGTTTTTTCTGTCATACAATTGTTAGCATAGGAATCCTGTTCATAGTTTACTAACCACCTGCCTCCATAGACCACATTCTATTGGTCCTCTGAGTGGGCTTCTTGGACTGTTTTGACTGTCATACATTGTACGAGTGCATTGTTAACAGTTTAATTTTGGACCGAGCAGAGCACTTTGGACTGATTCTTCCTGTAAATAGTGACTACTTGTCCACATACATGTAGACCACATTTTATTGGTCCTCTGAGTGGTCTTCCAGTTTTTACTGTCATACAACCGTTGACAGTGTCCCACCTGACGAGGGAAGACCCCCGGCATCTTCACATCCAGCACAAACTCCTCATACTCCTCCTCCTCCTCGTGTCTGGCGTAGTTTTGTCTCTCGAACACGTCGTCGTCCGCCGCGGGATAGTCGTACCCCCACGGGCTGAGCGAGGCGTCCACACACAGCACCAGGCACAGCAGCAACCAGGACAGATGGAGTGTCATCCTCTGCTTCATGTCGGTCTGTTTCTACACTGTACTAATGTGTTTGGAAGGTACTACACTGTTGTCCAAGATCTTGGCCACTCCTCAATGGGTCTGGTGTAGATCTTCCCAGAGAGGAAACCAGAGAAAATGCTGCTCACAGTCCCTGCCTAACTGTTTGTGTTCCGTGTCCTCATTCCAATTACTCATGGATATCCACCTGTATGAAAACAAGAACAAGTGGAAACGGTTAGAACGTAAACATACATGTTGTACCTATATCCTGGATTGTGCAACAATAATAAATAATTATATAATGACAAGTGTATAAGCTACAGGACATAATTTTTTCCCCTGGCCTATAGAGTTCTTGCCTGCAATTCACCATATTAATAAAACTTTAGCCATGACTGTTGAGGCCATGAATGTGGAAGTGCATACTTTTGAGGTCACATATTGCCCCTGCAAATTGGTATGGGACCTGGAACCAGCTAGGAAACCTGACCAAACATGGGTATGTGGACCTTGGACCAGCACCAACAAGATGAAGAATCATGTTTAGGCAGGTAAATAACATGGAACACAAATAAAAGAATACAAGTTAAATGTTATCCTATACGATAAAACAGTCTGTATTGAAAATAGACATCTCATACTACTGTAACAAAAATCTACCTATATACATGTATTATACATGTATAGTTGAAGATTTTGATTGATTCATTGGTTGAATCTCTGAAGCAGGTGACTGAACTTTAAGTATCACATGCCAGTGTTTGATGGGTTGAGGTGGCCTGCTATAGGATTTTATTTATTTATTTCTGTCATGTTTAAAGCAGGGTAGCCCAACCTAGTGGTAAGGCCACTGCTTTACAGTGGGGCCATGGGGACAGGTTGGCTGAATTGTACAATACAAGTACTGCCTGGCCAATTGGATACTGTCGTGCCAAAAATTGGATACTGTCTTGCCAATTTGATATCATTCGTCTTGCCAATTTGACACTCACTGTCATGACAATTTTATACTGTATTGCAGCCAAGATCTTCTCAGAGATTAGGGAAGAAAAGCTTCGCCAGAGACCGCACGAACTGGACCCTGAAACCTCTGAACACACCAGAGGTTGGCTCCACTTGGCAGGATGCCACAGCAGTGACTACTCTGTCAGCAGCTAGGCGGTAAAAGGTCCCACCACATCTGAGGGTCACATAAAAGCGGGTGAAAGGTCGGCCCTCCTGGCAGCTTGATGTGCAATGATACAGTGGCTTAGACGGTTGAAAACATGCCAAACTCAGGAAAGGAAAATAAAGAAGAACAGACAATCAAGGACAGTTAAATTCTTCATCTTTACATGTATGTCAAGGATGAATATTCTACATTCTCTGACTGTTAGCCTGCAGCTGGATATATCTAGTACCTGTTTACAGATTGTACAGAGGATCTAAAAAAAAAGCTTAATTTGGAAAAAGACATTTCATGGCTATAAATAACTTTTCAGATGAGATGAACCTCTACCCTTAGAGCTAGATGAAAACTGCACATACAAAAATATTATATTATTATTATTGGCATAAATATACAGGCTCATTCAAATGACTCCTGACCTGAATACAGAAAGGCCCCCATGGGCTACTCAATATCTAAATTTAGACATGAAATACTATATATAATGATGCTTGACCACCCACCCACAGAGTGACCCACCTCGGGGAATTCAAATGGAAACATCCAGAGGGTAGAGGCTGACACCTGGGTCCCAACCCTGACCTGTCCAACCCCCACAGATCAGTGATTACATGCACCTTGTACTAAGGCACCATGACAAACAGATGCAGGGCTTGAAATACTGTTTTCTGGATACCAGGGTTTTCAAAAATCCACTTGCCCACTTGCTCAAACCAACTTTTCACTTGCCCGAAATATACATATTTCTATGCATTTTTACTACTACCAAGGCAATTGTGTTATTTTGGAGTTGATAATGTTGGATGCTTTAGGTGGTTTGACTTGCTCCAAACACCATAGCGGCTATACTTTGCATAAAAAAATTGACTTGCTCAATCGGCCAAGTGTAGGGGCACATGCACTGGCCCCGGGCAAGTGGGCAATGGGACTTGTCCAACCCTGGATACCTGCATTGGTGCAGGTAACTTTTTAAACTTACACCTGCACAAGACAGATTTTACCTGCACCACTCAGTCAGAATATAGGAAATATGGATCATACTAAAAACTGTTCAGAAACCATCGCCATTATTTATTTAATACTTAATAGCTGGTAACAGTCAATGCAGCAAATAAAAATCCCTATGTCCTATATTTGCAAACCCAGTACATGGACCATTGCAGGATAGGTGCAGATAGACATCAGAAATACCTGCACAGCTCCAGTTCTACCTGCACTAACCTGCATATACCCAGTGCATGGACTAGTGCAGGTTAGGTACAGGTAGACATCAGAAATAACTGCACAGCTCCAGTTTTACCTGCACTAACCTGCATATACCCAGTACATGGACCAGTACAGGTTAGGTGCAGGTAGACATCAGAAATACCTGCAGAGCTCCAGTTTTACCTGCACTAACCTGCATTTTCAGCCCTGATTTATAAAATCTAACACAGTAACAACAAGATGAGGGTGACCCTGGACCCTGGCACACTTGTACCCAATATTCTGGACTTGTCCAACAATCCTCAGAATGAGATGCCATGGATATTACATTATGAATAATGAATAATGGCGGGATTGAAAAAAATGGAGTGCTGATTTCTAATTCTTGTACAGTGGCCAAAAGTTCAACCAAAACTATTGATGATATTAGAAAAGTCCCAATTCATACATTTTCTAGGCCAGCCATTTAGGAAATTACACAAAGCACAATGAAAACCCTAATGCTTTCTAGGTAAGCAAAATTCTGCAATTAGGTTACTGGAAATCTTGAAATATTTTCAGTGACCACCATAAATTGTACTACACAAATTGTTAACACCGTGAACACTCTTTTCTATTCCATTACTATGTGCTACTGAATTTTATCAACAGCGAACCCCATACACTGTGAAAACCTACTTTCCCTGTCTGCCTCAAAATGAACTCCCAGAGATACTAAATGAATTCACAATTTAGTAGAATTTACTGCTTGTGACAAGATAGATTTGTCAAGTCAGAGACAAGAAAACCCCAGAAAACTGGAGTTCAGATGAGGCCATGTCCTGCCAAACATCCACATGAGCGACTAACCTTATCTCTCCTCCATCAGGCTTCCTGCAGGTCTGTGACTGACAGACTGGGAAAAACACTTCCAGAAGCTTAGAGCTGGCCGCTGGTATAAGCTAGCCTGGATGCCAGACTGTTGCCAGGGCCTACATATGCCAGCTCCTCAGCCCCAGGGCCAACATGCCCCCAAATACATTGTACCATTAAACATTACCACAGAGAAACTGTTTTTCATGATCTCAGTCAAATTCTTGAGGGGCATGTTGGCCATACAGTACTAGAGCCAAGGAGCTGGTCTGCACGCCCCTAGAAACAGTCTGGTATCCAGGCTACTACACCTCCCCTTCCCATGTGTTTACCATTACCTCACCCCCCAACCTCCCACCAATCAATGTCCAGCCTTATCCCTAACCATGTACTAATGTAACACCAGTAGCAGGTACAGGGTAGGATTACTAATCTCATTACACTAGGTAATGATGCCTAGATGAAATGTCGCCTGTGATCAATGGTAGGCTACAAGGGGTCTCTCTGTTATAACTTGTAAGACCCTAATTTTCCTAACAGAACAAAACATAAGGGTACATTCTCAAAACAAGCTGCTGGGTTCCCAAACCTATTCAAACTCCAGTACAGTATCTGCCACAAAAAATCAAGAGCACAGCATGTCCAGGACAAAAGATACAAAAACAAAACAAAACTGGAAGTTCTGCTGCAGTACTGAGGAAGGCTGCCAGAGGGCTCAAAATCGACCTTGATCTTTGTCTTCTCAAGACCTACATGTACTGGCATATCAAATATCACAAGCCATCATCTAGACTTTCTTGAATTATGGTGACCACAAACATCTGGAAAGCAGGAAACACAGACGCACAAACAAACATAGACAGACAGACCCAAAACAGTACCAGTACATTTGTACCTCTATTTCCTCTAGTGGAGTAAGCTTCCCAGTAATTCATGTCAATGATAATGTTTGCTTCAAGAGATTCTGTCACCATATCCCATCACTTCTGCATACTAAAAACTTAAGTCCTAATTTTGGTACAGCTACCATTAGACTGGCTTTCATGTCGCATTAAGACAATCCACAACCACCTGTTACCATGGCACAAAGAAGTGCCAATACTGCTGCTCACACATCAACAAATATGCACCTAACGTCATCAGCCTGATGTATTTTCCTGTATCAGTGACCTGAATGGCAAATTAGGCCAGGATTGACGTCAGATACTGGGTAAGACGATTTACAGTCCGGGTACAGGGTGTTTGGTACACATCAAATCCTGTTGCTTCTAAATGGATAATGACAATGATACAGTGTATAAATCTTGAAATGTTCAGAATGGTCCAATTTTTGCAGTTTTCACAGCGGTGTATACCTTTTTTTTTAAGGTGCACAACATATTCTGAAACCTTACAAACCTTACAAGTGTGTCTGTTCAGAGCTTGAATCTGAAATTCTACAGTTAATTTCAAAATTGTAAACAAGCAATGTAGCAAAGGTTTTATTATTTTTTTTGACACGCATAACCTGACGTTGACGGAATATGATGTATCTTTATATAGGTATATGGTTACCTTTATATAATGTAGGTAACCATACACAAATATCTACATTGTAGCTGCACTGTTCCACCTACAGTCACAGATCAGTCTAATTTCGGATGCACAGTATCCATCCAGTATCTCCAGCCCTGATTATAGAACCCACCTGCAGGCAAACATGATATTTCCTGTACCATGAGAGCACCATGTCAGGCCTCAGGCAAACTGAAGGACCTACATCCCGATGACGCACGCACAAGCACAAAATGTGCAACCACTTAGAACTGTTAACCCGAAATTCATAGCAGTGAAAAAGCCATACAACATGGATAACACAAAAGGCGCTGTACAAAGTTAGCCCAATAAATCTACATGTGTTGACGTGACAACAGTCAAGTGATCAGATTTATTATTCATCAGGCAATAGCTGATCATGATCCTGACTGTCTATCACAATT